GTGGGTGGTGTATGAAGGACCAACTGAACTTTCACCATTAATAGAGAATAAAAAAGGTTTTAAGTAATTTTACAAGAGATAAATTAAATAAATAGATATTTCAAATATGCTTATGATTATTTCTGATGAAATACCAGATCAGGGTTATATACAGTGTTATCCTTGGAAAAAATGTACCCATAAAATTTATATTTTGCATTGGTTGAATAATATAGCTAATATTTTATAAAATCCCTTTAAAATTAAAAACAAGACATTGCATCTTTTTGCTCTTCATGGGGTTAAAAGGACCAGGTGCCAAATTTTTGAAAAACAGCAAAAAAACATTTCTATAATGATGAATTAGTTGGGAGTTTCACTGAACATAGTCAGATAGTTGTTTGTTTGATATGTGTTATTTGTTGTGATATAATTGTTATGGTTTTTACAATATAATTGCTCAAAGTCAAATTAGACTTTGTACCCTGTGCTACCCTATATATATAATGTAAAATTTATATTTTTTTACTGTTTTATTTATATTATAAAATAAAAGAGAATGGTAAAAAATGGTTATTATAGAAAATTTCGTACATTTTAATAATTTCGAATTTGAATCTAATTGTAATAAAAATTAGTAAAGTTAGTTTCAAAATAAAATTTAACGAATTTATTTCTTTACTTACTACTTAAATTTAAGGGCTTACATTTTATGTTAACACTATGCAACAAAACTTTCATTAAATTTTTCATACTTTTTTAAAATTTTATTTAATTTGTATTTCTTATAAATTTTGTAAGAATTTTTTTCCCATCTGTATAAAGATGTATTTTACAGATTTTGTATTTTTATGTGTGATTTCAACTGAATTTATTCAAATTTTAATATGCAAGTATGCAAGTATATATTATATTTTATACTAAATTGTAGTAAATTTTATCTGGTTTATACTATTGTAAATAAATTAAATGGTCCAGAACAAAATTTCCATGTTATTTGAAAAAATCTACAAAAATTTTCTATATCAATATAATACTGCTTGGCAAAAAACACAAGTCCGCGTTTCAACAAAATTTATTTAAAATCTTAATATGCAAGAATATATAATATTTTATACTAGATTTAAGTAAATTTTATCTAGTTTATACTAATGTAAATAAATTGAATGGTTTAAAACAAAATTTACATGTTATTTGAAGAAATCAGAAATATCCCAAATCAACTCCGCGTTTTGACTAAATTCATTCAAGATTTTAATATGCAAGTATATATAATATTTTATACTAAGTTTTTGTCTGTTTAAAGATGTATTTTTCAGATTTTGTATTTTTATGTGTAAATTTTATTTGTTTTTGTAAAGATAAATGAATATCATTGGGCAATCGTATTTTCTTTTTAGATTTTTTCAGCAAATTAGACACTCATCATTAATTCTTGGGCATAATTAAATTTTTGCATTATCATCTACCAAAAGTACGTCGAGACAAATAATTGATTAAGTTCATAAAGAATTAGTTGTTTCATAGTAAAAATGTTTAGCATTTATCAATCGCATATTGTAATTAAAAATTGAAAAAGTGGGCTAAGTTCTTCAAATAGTTATTTCGTGGAAATAGTGCTAAGAAAAAATTGATGAGAAAAATTATAAATAAAAAAATAATAAACGTTTTATAAAAAGAATAGCTTTAGTTCAAAAATATGAAATCTTAAATATTATATTTAATAAATTTGGGGTTGTTGGGACTTACGAATGATCCATCGTCTATTCAATTATTTCATATAATGTTGCAAAAATAAATCATATAAAATATTATCTAACCCCATAGTATAATTTCCTATACCTTTATCTATATGTCTTTTATCCCAAATACATAAATATATTTAATTCTCTCACAATGACGCAGAAGACAAACATCTTAATGTTTCAATTATGCAAACATAGGAAACTGGAACAATAACACAGTTCTCTAATAAGATTTTACATGTAATAAACCTGTATCCATATCATATAAATAATAGTTTACAATCGATTATAATTAGTTTTACATAATTCTCTTGCTATGGCCATTATACGAATATGCATGTTCTTCCTTAATATCATTTTATGTATGAAACGATAAATAGAGAAAATCAATATTTTCATAGAATTTGTAATGAAATAACATGACTTATATGATGCATATTTTATAATTAAATTTTCTAAATTTTTCATAAAAAGATTTTTTTTTAAAAAGCTAAAAAGATCATGAGTTACAAAACATTTTATAATTTTGTTTGCTCAAAAAAAGACAATATACACTCTATATTTATTTGAAATTGTTTGTAAAAAAAATTGTAAATGGTGTCACATATATAACTATAATAAATAAATATATTTTTAAATTTTATACATTTTTTTTATTCCATTAGTTATCTTACAATTTTTCAGGGGCAAGATTGGTTGTATGATAAATATAAAAAAGTGGTTTACGTTGTTTTTTTAAATAATTTAAAAGCATATTTAATTAAAATTTTACATATTATTTATCTAATTTATTATAACATTTATATATACGTGGATTTTTAAGTTATTTGAAGAAAAAAAAAATGTCGTATACTAATAGGCTAAATACACAATTCCACGTTTTGACTAAATTTTAATATGCAAGTATATATATAATATTTTATACCAAATTTTAGTTAATTATCTAGTACATATTTACGTAAATAAATTGTATTGTCCAGAACAAAATTTTTAAGTTATTTGATAAAATCTAAAAAAAACGTCCTAAACTAATTGGAAATATGCCCGCGTTTCGACTATTTATTCAAAATTTGTATATGCAAGTTTATATAATATTTTATACCAAATTTTAGTAAATTTTATTTAGTTTATACTAATGTAAAAAAATTGTTTAGTCCAAAACAAAAATTTTAGGTTATTTTAAAATCTGAAAAAATCTGAAAAAATGTCCTAAATCAATATATTACTAATTGGCAAAATACACAAGTTCGCGTTTCAACTAAATTTATTCAAAATGTTCATATGCAAGAATATACAAAATTTTATACTAAATTTTAGTAAATTTTATCTAGTTTACACTAATGTAAATAAATCAGATTGTCCAGAACTAAATTTTTGAGTAAATCTCAAAAAGTGTCCTATACTAATTGGCAATATACACAGTCCACGTTTAGACTAAATTTATACAAAATTTTAATTCGCAAGTATATGTAATATTTTATACTAGATTTTAGTGCATTTTATCTAGTTTATACGAATGTAAATAAATCTTATTGTTCAGAATAAAATTTCAAAGTTATGTGATCTATTATATAGTAGTTAACAAAATTTCTGAATAATTTGAAAAAATCTACAAAAATGTCCTAAATCCATATATTACTACTTGGCAAAATACACAAGTCCGTGTTTCAACTTTTATTCAAAATTTTTATAAGCAAGTATATATAATATTTTATACTCAAATTTAGTAAATTATATCTAGTTTACACTATTATAAATAAATTGGATTGTCCAGAACAAAATTACTAAGTTACTTGAAGAAATCTACAAAAATGTCCTAAATCTATATATTACTAATACACAAGCCCGCGTTTCGACTAAATTTATTCAAAATTTTCATGTACAGGTGTATATAATATTTTATACTAAATTTTAGTAAATTTTATCTGGTTTATATTAATGTAAGTAAATGAAATTGTCCTGAACAAAATTTGTGAGTAATTTGAAGAAATCTACAAAAATGTCCTAAATATATATATATATATATATATATATATATATATATATAAATATATATATATATATATATATATATATATATATACGTGGTCTGTTCAAAAAGTACCCGAATTACTAATAATTAAATTTCGCGGGTCTGGAGTGTCTGATTGTCAAAATTTTTTTTTTATTGTGTTGGTATACATGCCCCTAAAGTATGATGAAATTTTCAGCTATATTCACTGTTTACTTTGTCTGTGGTAGTCGCTAAGGTTCGACGTGTTTTTCTGAGCTCGGCGATTTTTACAATGGAAGAATTGAAAAGTCAAAGAATTTGTATTAAATTTTGCGTAAAAAATGAAATAAAGTGTTGCAAAGTGCAAAATTCACCAGATATGGCTCCGTGTGACTTTTTCCTATTCCCAAAGTTGAAGAGACCCATGAAAGGACGGCGGTTTTCCTCGATTGAAGAAAATCGCTGAGAGTGCTCAAGGACATATCAAAAAGTGAATATCAAGGGTGCTTCGAAAATTGGAAAAAACGCTGGCATAAGTGTATTATATCTGGGGGGGACTACTTTGAAGGGGACCACATTAATGTAGACGAATAAATAAATATTTTTTTGAAAAAACGAAAATTCCGGGTACTTTTTGAACAGACGTATATATATTACTAATACATAAGTCTACGACTAAATTTATTCAAGATTTTGATATGCAAGTGTACATATAATATTATATACTAAATTTAAGTAAATTTTCTAGTTTATACTCATGTAAAAAAATTATATACTTAGTCCAAAACAAAATTTCAAAGTTATTTGAAAAAATCTAAAAAAATGTCCTAAACTAATTGGAAATATACATAAGCCCGCTTTTAGACTAAATTTATTCCAAATTTTCATATACAGTTGTATATAATATTTTATACCAAATTTTGGTAAATTTAATATAGTTTTTACTAATGTAATTACATTGAGATGTCTAGGACAAAATTTCTAAATTATTTAAAAAAATCTGTCCTAATTTAAGATATGACATTTGCTTTCCATTTACGCCATTTGTTTTTTTTTTATTAATTTAGCTACAAATAAATTATTAAATAGTTTTTTATAATTATTCAAAATTATAAACAAGTGCCAGTCGTTATGAATTTTTTCCATTTCCAAATTTTGAAAGTAGTCCGCCGGCGCATGGATACACTCTGGGCAAGAGTCTTCCCTCTCATTGTTTTCGCTCTATGGCACATCATATATGGATCCAAGCTCTGAGTAAAGAAGTGTCAGGCAGGATTCAGCATTTAAAAAATTATTTATAACCACATTAAAAGTTAAACACATTATCGTACATTAATCAACTTAAAGGTACGTATTTTATAGTACATTTATTAGTGTTTGTATATGATTTATTACTACTATACTCGATTGCAGATGCCGAATATAAAATTGCAATCGTCCGATGGCGAAGTTTTTGATGTAGATGTAGAAATTGCAAAATGCTCTGTAACAATCAAAACTATGTTGGAGGATTTGGGAATGGACGAAGACGAGGAGGAGGTTGTACCCTTGCCCAATGTTAACTCAGCTATTCTGAAAAAGGTAGTAAAAGACATCCTTGACATTTTTGTCAGCTATGTGTATTTTTGTACATAACCCTAGATTTTGTACCAAATTTTACCCAGGGACAAAAACTTGTGTAATAGTAGCCTAATTAACTTTCTGTGGCATTGTAGTAATCACAAAGAAAACGAATATTACGTTTCAGAGGTTTCTGAACATTTCGGCATACCTTAGAAAAAATGAATGTATGCATATGTGTGTGTGTATGGTTACAATTTTTTGTCAAAGATTTTGAGAACACTGATTGACAGATTTGAATAATTCAAAAAGCATTAGAATCCTACTGATAAGGAGATGTGCTGATTAGTTTTTGGCAAAGGCAAGTCCAGCCGTTTCGAAGATAAGGGATAAAAAAGTACCAAAAATTGTATTTCAGTTTTTGAGAGAACGGAGTGTCCGTTATCAATAATTCAAATAACATCTCATTTGAATTGTCAAAATGAAGAACTGATTAAATTTTTGGGAAGGCAGGTCTTGTTTTTTAATTACAATATTTATTACAACTGTTAAATAGTTAACATCTAGCAATATTGATAAATAATGACATAAATTTAAATAAATAAGAGTGCAAAGGATAGAATTTACATGAAAATAATGTACATAGTTTGATGATTTAACATAAAATAAAAGCAAATAATAATAAAAATAAAATTAATAAATAATATAAATAAAACTTCTGAATAATAAAATAATACTAGAAAAACAATAAAATATAACAAAATAACAATAATAGAAATAGTAAGATAATAATAATAATATTAATGTTAGCGTTTACAAATGGCTATTTATAAGATCATTGGGAATTTTTTGTTTTACCCTGGTTGGGCGCGCTTCTGAGAATACTTTTTATGCCAAGTAATTTGGGTGTTTGTCAATTCTTCTTTTATAATTGTCTGTTTTTTGTTGAATTACTTCATTTACTGTCATCATATTGCTGCCCTTGTGAATCAACCGGTTGAGAACGTACCTGGGTGCATTCAGTGCTTACCATATGATATTGTTCTGCACTCGCTGAATAATCTGTCTATTAGTTTTTTTGGAGGTGCCCCATAGTTGAATCCCATAAGACCGCACTGGTTTGAAAATACATCTGTAAATAATATCTGTAAATAATGTGTCGACAGTTTGGATCGTTTATTCAGCAACCAGTAATGTTTTTTAAATAATTCATTAATCTGCTGTTTTTTCTTGCCAATGTGGTCTCTCCAGTTCAATTTTGAGTCTAGTTTTTTAAAAAATGTAACAAAAAATTCCATTTGGCGGTCAAAAACAATTATTAGACATATGCACATCAAATTAACAGATATTTTATAGAGATTTTAATAATAAGTAATAAAGTATATATAAAAAAATATTCAGAAAGATCAATTTTTGTCATTAAAATTCTTAAAAATCTAATTTTCTCAAATTCTAATTATTGGTACAGATATTTCCAGCAATTTGCTATAAAGCACAATGCCATGCACCATCAATTTTAAGTGCATTTTGTCACAATTTCAATAATTTTTCTATCCCAGGTTATTCAATGGGCAACTTACCACAAAGATGACCCACCACCACCCGAGGATGACGAAAACAAAGAGAAAAGAACCGATGATATCTCATCCTGGGACGCTGATTTCTTAAAAGTTGACCAAGGAACTTTGTTTGAACTAATTTTAGCCGCCAACTACCTAGATATCAAAGGTCTCCTCGATGTCACGTGCAAAACAGTTGCAAATATGATCAAAGGAAAGACTCCTGATGAAATCCGCAAGACTTTCAATATCAAAAACGATTTCTCTGCAGCTGAAGAAGACCAAGTGAGGAAGGAGAACGAATGGTGCGAGGAGAAGTAGTGGTTTAAGCTAGTTTGTAATTTGTTAAAATCATTAAGTGGTTTTATGTTTCTTAAATAATTTTTAGAATCTATTTGAATTTATAGCAATAGCACTATGTTCATGAATTTAAAATTGGTACTGTACAATATTTAAATATAACAAAACAATATTTAAAGAATTTTGTTTATTTTTTTATCAAAAAGCAACTGTTTGGTGACATTGCGTTGATGGTTCTTGTCCTCCTAACACAGCTCCTATCATTAAAGTAAACCACAGAATGATTATCCCAAGCATGACGTAAAATACTAAAAACATCTTGGCTTTTCTTTGATTTCTACAAAAAAACACAAACTAAATCAGTATCAAATCTGATTTAATCAACCTTTATTATTACCTTTTGAACAGTTCTATCTCTTTCTGGAACGATGGTTCAGAGTTTTTTAATTTTTGCACCTGGTTATTAATTAAATGTGTTATGGCATCTTTCTTGTGCTTTATGATATCGCAATCTTTTGAAGTCTGCTGTAGTGATTGAGGCGTAGGAGATTTTTTCATGGTAAAAAATATGTATCAAAATATTATGCAAAATTGTCAAAATAAATAACAAAAGAATAATAAAAATATTCACAGTATTTGTTCATTTGAAAAAGGAATCAGTTTTATTTTTTGATATGGGAGTTGTTTTTAAACTTCTAATGATTTATTTAAATATATATTTGTTAGATATTTTGAACAAGATTGACAAGCATCGTAGTAGATTTATAAGCACCATAGTATTTTTACACTCGTAGTAAATAAATTTACTGTTATTGTAGTAGATTTGCTATTATTATTGTACTAATATTTTTACAATCCTTGTAATATTTTTACAACCATTGTAGTATTTTTAGACTCATTGTAGTAGATTTACTAATATTGTAGTGGATTTACTATTATTGTAGTAATTTTACACCCATTGTAGTATTTTTTACAAACATTGTAGTATTTTTACACCCATTGTAGTATTTTTACAATTATTGTAGTGGATTTACTATTATTGTAGTGAATTTACTATTATTGTAGTATTTTCACCCATTGTTTTTTACACCCAAACTACTACAATTATTGTAAAAATACTACAATGTTTGTAAAAATACTACAATGAGTGTAAAAATACTACAATGGGTGTAAAAATACTACAATGTTTGTAAACAATACTACAATGGGTGTAAAATTACTACAATAATAGTAAATCTACTACAATGATTGTAAAAATACTACAATGGGTGTAAAATTACTACAATGGGTGTAAAAATACTACAGTAATAGTAAATCTACTACAATGATAGTAAAAATACTTCAATGGGTGTAAAAATACTACAATGTTTGTAAACAATACTACAATGAGTGTAAAATTACTACGATAATAGTAAATCTACTACAATGATTGTAAAAATACTACAATGGGTGTAAAAATACTACAATGTTTGTAAACAATACTACAATGGGTGTAAAAATACTACAATGGGTGTAAAATTACTACAATGGGTGTAAAAATACTACAATGATTGTAAAATTACTACAATGGGTGTAAAAAATACTACAATGGGTGTAAAAATACTACAATGTTTGTAAACAATACTACAATGGGTGTAAAATTACTACGATAATAGTAAATCTACTACAATGATTGTAAAAATACTACAATGGGTGTAAAAATACTACAATGTTTGTAAACAATACTACAATGGGTGTAAAAATACTACAATGGGTGTAAAATTACTACAATGGGTGTAAAAATACTACAATGATTGTAAAATTACTACAATGGGTGTAAAAATACTACAGTAATAGTAAATCTACTACAATGATAGTAAAAATACTTCAATGGGTGTAAAAATACTACAATGTTTGTAAACAATACTACAATGAGTGTAAAATTACTACGATAATAGTAAATCTACTACAATGATTGTAAAAATACTACAATGGGTGTAAAAATACTACAATGTTTGTAAACAATACTACAATGGGTGTAAAAATACTACAATGGGTGTAAAATTACTACAATGGGTGTAAAAATACTACAATGATTGTAAAATTACTACAATGGGTGTAAAAAATACTACAATGGGTGTAAAAATACTACAATGATTGTAAAAATACTACAATGGGTGTAAAATTACTACAATGGGTGTAAAAATACTACAGTAATAGTAAATCTACTACAATGATAGTAAAAATACTTCAATGGGTGTAAAAATACTACAATGTTTGTAAACAATACTACAATGAGTGTAAAATTACTACGATAATAGTAAATCTACTACAATGATTGTAAAAATACTACAATGGGTGTAAAAATACTACAATGTTTGTAAACAATACTACAATGGGTGTAAAAATACTACAATGGGTGTAAAATTACTACAATGGGTGTAAAAATACTACAATGATTGTAAAATTACTACAATGGGTGTAAAAAATACTACAATGGGTGTAAAAATACTACAATGTTTGTAAACAATACTACAATGGGTGTAAAATTACTACGATAATAGTAAATCTACTACAATGATTGTAAAAATACTACAATGGGTGTAAAAATACTACAGTAATAGTAAATCTACTACAATGATTGTAAATATACTACAATGGGTGTAAAAATACTACAATGTTTGTAAACAATACTACAATGAGTGTAAAATTACTCGATAATAGTAAATCTACTACAATGATTGTAAAAATACTACAATGGGTGTAAAAATACTACAATGTTTGTAAACAATACTACAATGGGTGTAAAAATACTACAATGGGTGTAAAATTACTACAATGGGTGTAAAAATACTACAATGATTGTAAAATTACTACAATGGGTGTAAAAAATACTACAATGGGTGTAAAAATACTACAATGTTTGTAAACAATACTACAATGAGTGTAAAATTACTACGATAATAGTAAATCTACTACAATGATTGTAAAAATACTACAATGGGTGTAAAAATACTACAATGTTTGTAAACAATACTACAATGGGTGTAAAATTACTACAATGTTTGTAAACAATACTACAATGGGTGTAAAATTACTACGATAATAGTAAATCTACTACAATGATTGTAAAAATACTACAATGGGTGTAAAAATACTACAATGTTTGTAAACAATACTACAATGGGTGTAAAAATACTACAATGTTTGTAAACAATACTACAATTTTTTTTTTTTTTTTTTTTTTTTGTTACAATTTATTTTTGTTAATCAAGAAACAATACTACAATGAGTGTAAAATTACTACGATAATAGTAAATCTACTACAATGATTGTAAAAATACTACAATGGGTGTAAAAATACTACAATGTTTGTAAACAATACTACAATGGGTGTAAAAATACTACAATGTTTGTAAACAATACTACAATGGGTGTAAAAATACTACAATGGGTGTAAAATTACTACAATGGGTGTAAAAATACTACAATGATTGTAAAATTACTACAATGGGTGTAAAAAATACTACAATGGGTGTAAAAATACTACAATGTTTGTAAACAATACTACAATGAGTGTAAAATTACTACGATAATAGTAAATCTACTACAATGATTGTAAAAATACTACAATGGGTGTAAAAATACTACAATGTTTGTAAACAATACTACAATGGGTGTAAAATTACTACAATGTTTGTAAACAATACTACAATGGGTGTAAAATTACTACGATAATAGTAAATCTACTACAATGATTGTAAAAATACTACAATGGGTGTAAAAATACTACAATGTTTGTAAACAATACTACAATGAGTGTAAAATTACTACGATAATAGTAAATCTACTACAATGATTGTAAAAATACTACAATGTTTGTAAACAATACTACAATGGGTGTAAAAATACTACAATGTTTGTAAACAATACTACAATGGGTGTAAAATTACTACAATGTTTGTAAACAATACTACAATGAGTGTAAAATTACTACGATAATAGTAAATCTACTACAATGATTGTAAAAATACTACAATGGGTGTAAAAATACTACAATGTTTGTAAACAATACTACAATGGGTGTAAAATTACTACAATGTTTGTAAACAATACTACAATGGGTGTAAAATTACTACGATAATAGTAAATCTACTACAATGATAGTAAAAATACTTCAATGGGTGTAAAAATACTACAATGTTTGTAAACAATACTACAATGAGTGTAAAATTACTACGATAATAGTAAATCTACTACAATGATTGTAAAAATACTACAATGGGTGTAAAAATACTACAATGTTTGTAAACAATACTACAATGGGTGTAAAATTACTACGATAATAGTAAATCTACTACAATGATTGTAAAAATACTACAATGGGTGTAAAAATACTACAATGTTTGTAAACAATACTACAATGAGTGTAAATTACTACGATAATAGTAAATCTACTACATGATTGTAAAAAATACTAACAAGGGTGTGTAAAATACTACAATGTTTGTAAAAAAATACTACAATGGGTGTAAAAAATACTACAATGGGTGTAAAATTACTACAATGGTGTAAAAAAATACTACAATGATTGTAAAAATTACTACAATGTGTGTTAAAAAATACTACAATGGGTTGTAAAAATACTACAATGATTGTAAAAATACTACAATGGGTGTAAAATTACTACAATGGGTGTAAAAATACTACAGTAATAGTAAATTCACTACAGTATACTATGTGGTATTTTCACAATCATTGTATTATTTTTATACTGTTTGGCATAAAAATTTTGTTGGGGGCTTTCAGGAAGATTGTTTTTTAGGATTGCTTTTAACAAAATTTAGCCTATTAAATCTATATAAATATAAAATATGAGATAAAATAGAGCAAATTTGCTAAAAGTACTGAAGAGAATTTTTTTTTTAAACATAAAATGATAAGTTAGTTCTGAATCAATATATTACTTTAGGTGGTAAATTACACAAGTCCACGTTTCGACTAAATAATTTATTCAAAAATTTAATATGAAAGTATATATAATAAAGTATACCAAATTCTAGTACATTTTATCTAGTTTACAATAGTATAAATAAATTAGATTGTCTAGAATATTTTTATTTTTATTATTATAAAAAATCTAAAAGAATGTCCTATACTATTTGGCAAAATACACAAGTCCGCGTTTCGACTAAATTTATT